AAAATTATTTCTATAAGGTGTCTTATAAATAAGATCGGAGGAAGTACTTCTTCAGTCAAAGGCTTTTTTCAATCTAGAGTTTGCTGGGCATGTTTGATCGGTCAGGCAGCTCTTTCACAACTTGCTCTTGAAGCAATACGGTATGTGTGTCTTCAGCTTGTCAATCAAGGTCAACACAAGCCTACCTTGTGTTCGTCACCTAGATAAGTCAAGGAACAAGACATGTTGTGCGCGTGCTGCTGCTTGTCCTACCTTGAATATACTCATTTGGAGAGGTCAAGACCTAAATGTGTGACAACTTGTATGCGTGAATTGTCCTTTGACAACATGTGCATATATATCATATATGTGCAGATTACAAGGAAAAGTAGCTTTGATCACTGATGGAGCCAGCGGAATCGGGGCTTTAGGAGCAGAGGCGGTAATCGCAGACATTAGAGACGAACAAGGGCAAGCCGTGGTGACATTGGATCCAAATATGCTTCGTACGTACTGTGATGTTACAAAAGAATCCGACGTTGAAACTGCGGTAAACACTGCTATTTCTAAGCATGAAAAGCTTGACATAATGACAAAAAGGTTTATAGTCAAAGGACTCAGTATATATGGCTGAATTCAAGCGTGTAAACTCAGAGCCATAGTTTCTCTCACAAAGGTTAAACTCAGAGCCATAGTTCAAAAAATTAATGAATCCAATTCTCAATTAAATTCTCTCACAAAGGTGAACAATCTCTGACCTACATCACATTGAACACTATCATCGCAATTTTTTTTTTCTTTTGTGTTTAGAGTAGTTTACGTTGTTGACGATTAATTAGCAATTCATTTCTATTTAAAAATCGAATCAAATGTACTATGGGCACATTAGTCACGAGATTATTGACAAGTTCAACAACGGACTATGAGAATTATTGGCTTCGTTATTTCATTCAATTATTTGGCCCTTGGTTTTCTTACCCTTATTTGCCCACCTTTTAAGAGGTTTTATTAATTAAACACTTCTTGATATCACTCATTGATGTCAACAACCAAGGTTTTGGCTTATATGCTTTTATAATTTTTAAATATTTTTTTACCAGAACATTGTTGTTAAACTAACTTTTCATTATTGCTTATTGGAGTTTTTTACACAAGTTATATTATTTAATCATTAAGGAAATTAATTAAGCATATAGTTGATTGTGATGTTTTTGACTAAGTTCGAAATCAAAATTCTGGTAAAAAAGTTTGAAATTAAATTCAAAATGCCATGACTTCTCGTACAGAAGATAGAAATAATGGGAAAGAAATGACATAAAAAATATAATTTAGGAGTTTGTAAATATAGCCCACGTTATATGATGAAACTAAGCAAACAGCCCAACAATTTTTATATTTTACATTATGTCAAGTTTGTTATATTTATTAATGATATACGGTTGTATATCAATGATAAATTCCTTGTAAATTTTTAAATTTTTAATGATAAATTATTTGTATATTAATGTGAATCAGCCATACTCTCAAATTTTGTAGGCACAAGATTTTTTTCAGCTAATAGGCTAATTCTCCTATAATCATTTAATAGAAATGAAAATATAAAATAAACTAGCATATTATAATCATATAATGCACGGCTTTTATAGAGAATAAAGAAAATAGCACCAAATTATCCGACTTTTATGTATTTTATTGATGATTATTGATCCAATCATCCAATGTCACCCGATTGAGTGTTATATATATGTATGCATGCATGTAATAAATTTAATTTTCATACGCACTAAAAAATTTCATGAAATATTTAAAATTGCTAGTATTTGAACATGTAGTATTATCTATATGATTTGTCCGTGCTAATTTATAATATTAATTCTAAATTTTCTTGATTGGAGGAGGAAATTTAACAGAATAAAGCTTTGTGTCTATGATATGTGTGAAGTAATGCCATTAATCTCACATTTGTAAATGATCTTATAATAATGTTGCTTGAGGCCGTATTAAAGAAACAAATTTAAGATCAACTTATGCGCATGAATGAATTAAAAAACGAAGAAACAAATTAAGGAAGACCAACTTGCTACCATTGTGTTCTCTGGCCTCTGACGTCACCATCGTTGCATCACTATCTTGTTTAAGGTTTAAAGCACTGAGCTGCAATTTGTAACAACTCAATGACAGCCAATCATCAAGCAAGACATAATATACAAGATTAATTAAGATAATCTTGTCAAATTCGACGAGTTTAAATAAAGTCACACGTATAGATAAGCTTGTCAAACATAAGTTCACATGTATGGATAAGCTTTTGTCAAATTAGACGATTAGTTTATATAAAGTCCAACCATGATATAAAATTTAACGTACAAGAGTAAGGTTTTACTTTTATTATTGATATAATTATATAGAAAGTTACATAATTATATTATCAATCAATATACATGACGTATAATTTTTTATATTAGTAAAAAAAATATAAAATAAATATTTTATAGACCAAATGATGTGTGATAAACATGGATTGTTTTTTCAATATATATTTGATTTTTAAATGATTTTACTATATAAAAACTAGACATTAAAAGTTAAATACTTAAACAAATTTTTTTAAAATTTACCAATAAAAGTTTATACTGATAGTTGATAAAATAAAAGTACTAATAAAATGCGCTAATGTATCATCCCACGTTAAATCTGAAAAATTAAAATAAAATGAATACAAAAGTCAAAGTGCCACATAATAACCCATGTACCATATAAAAAGATACATTTTAAATAATTGAAATCTTTTTCTTAAAAAAATAATCACATTCTAAAAAAAGTACTTTTTTTATGTCCTTAATTATTTATATATTTTATAAGTTGAGATAAACAACCATCATTCTTTTTAAATAATTTGAAAATCGATATTTTAGGCTTAAACAAATGGACAACTTATTTTTCATGTTTCACGTATAATATAACATCCTCAAATAGGTATTACGCATATTTGCAAAGAAAGCATCTTTAATTTCTTTATTTTATACTCCTAGGAGTATTATTTAACTGTCAATGGACACAATATACTTTTTTGATAGGATCTCCTTCTCAAGAGGAGAGAAATGGGCGGGTCTATCCTACCTTATGTGGTCAAGCCCTTAAAGTCAATTTTCCTAAAACTTAGAGTTAGGCTAAGGACTTAGAGTTAGGCTCATAAACTTGTTTTAGAAAAATAAAATGAAATAAACTTTATCACTATAACAAATATACATTAATTAAAATATTCTAAAATTAAAAGAAAAAAAACAAATCAATATCTTCATCATCTGGATCATGAATCACAAATTGCAAACAAAACCATGAATAACATAATCGAAATCAAAAATAAGATCCTAGAGCAAGAACACCAATCACAGGAACACATACCCATGTATTGTTTTTGAACCACATGAATTATAGCAAAATCAAAATAGAATCAAAGAACAATACGCCAATGAGAAATGAGACTTAGAAATAAAACTAGAACAACATTCAAAGAATTAGAAAACAACAAGAACAATGGGTAGAAGTTGAATGATCGAAGTCAACATCATGATAGCAAATCAAAATAGAGGTAGGTGAAACATAGGTAGAGGTGAGATTGACATCCATACTTTAGAGCCACCATGACACTATGATTAAGTGAGAGCGAGAGCGAGATCGCAAGGATATGGAGACATATCACAAAGGCGAGATCAAGAGGCTAGTTGTTTGTTGAGTGAGAGGTAAGGTTGCGAGAGAAGATAGAGATAAAGGAGAGGTCAAGAATTAGAGGTCGAGACGGAGAGCATTGTGATTGACTTTGCCATCTCACCCACCTCCAAATCCTCCACCATGTCTCACACCGTGGCTAAGGCTCTGTTTGATTCAAAAGGAGGAGGAGAAGGGAGGGGAGGGGAGAGGAGGAGGGGGGGAGGAAGGGAGGGAAGGGAAGGAGAGTGGAGGGGAGGGGAGGGGGGCTCCCCCCCAATTTAGGGGGAGAAGTTTTGGAGGGGAGGGGAGGGGAGGAATTTCCCAACCAGACAATACCTAAGAGGGAAATTGTGAGTGAGCACTTGAATCATAAGAATTGAGTAGAGGAGAGGTTGAGCGGGAGAGCTGAGTAGAGTAAGGAGAGGCTAAGAAGGAGAGTAGTGAGCATAGGCATGAGCAGTTGAGTGTGAGGGGAGATGAAATTGTGAGGTGTGGGCAGTGAGCATATTAGGTGTGAGTAATCAAGTGAGAGGAAGAGCAGTAGCTTAAGGTTTTCTTCCATTTAGGTCCAAAAGTTGGGTTTTGAAAGGGAAGTAAACCAAACAAGATAATTAAGCTTAGAGAGACGCTTGAGCTCATTTTTCAAGGCTTACCAAGCTCAACACCTTATTAAAATGGGTTTAAATGAGAGACCCTCAAGACTCGACCTTTATTTTTAACTTTACTTTTCAACGTGTAGAATGCTTATATGTTATGATTGTGTGGGCAATGGGCATCATGCTCTTGATTTTTAACTGTTGATTTTAATTTGTTTGGATTTTTGCCTTGCCTTGCATTTTTGTTTAAAAAAAACTTAAACCCATACTTCAACGATGAGAAATTAGTATTACATTTTAAGTTTTTTCTTTTAAATAATTCTTGATAATAATTATCAAGTAAATGACAATGCATCATTACAAATAGGAACCGACTACTAGGAAATGGGAGAGAAGAAATACGAGCAAGATTAGTAGAATGCCACATCTTAACTTTCTAACTCTTAGGCCTCAAGGCTCAAGTTTATATATTGTTTATCTTTATTTTATATTAATTATTAAGTCAAATTTTATTTGATGTGAGACTTTTTGTATCATTTTTAATCTACTTACACTTGAACAGCTTAATACACACATGCCAATTTTTCACAAAATTTTGGAACCATCACACGAAATGATCCTAATTAATCACCTTTCACCCGGGGCAGATTAATTGGTGAGCTTAATTACTCAGACTTAGCCCCGAAAAAATTGCAAGAAAAATCATCGGGGCTTATGACTCCTTGTCCAATAATAACAAGTCCATGCTATTTATGCAACGTTATTATCGTCTAAAACAAGCCTAGAATAATAATCACCCAAGACCTTAATCAGATCCATGCCATATATAACTATTCCACATGGCTTCAGTCTACAGCTTGCTAATGCTTGATCTGTGAGGAAGTTGCAGGCAGTCCCAATTGTCATCTTCAACCTCCCTGAAGTACTGATTTACCATTTCTTCACTTACCAGCTCCAGCTTTGGAGGATCCCACTAATCATAACACATAGACACACACAAATAAAACCAAACAAAAATTGTATTATGCAATGAAGAGGTAAATTCTATTCACTAACCAGTTCCGGCATTTTTTAACCATTTTTTACACGACTAGTGTCATGATTTTTATTATAGGAAAGACCAGTACATTTTTTTCACACTAAAAAAGTTAGAATATAGAGTGGCTCTTAATTTGGAGATTTATAGCCTTCAATCATTTAATAGTGTCTCAAAATTAGTGCATGACTATCTTCATTGAAATGATTTTCAATATGTTAATTTGAAGAGTGTGTGTGTGTGTGTGTTTGTTTTTTTTTTTTTTGGCCAAAACGAGAATTTGAAGTGTGTATTTGAGGGAGATATGCTACGCTACTAGTATGTCCTACCACAGCCTTGTTGTCCTTATGAAATAGCTTTGCTCTTGAACCCTGCAACCATCCAAAGAATATATACTTTAATGATATACTAATTATGATATATTGATACTTCCAATTATGAGCACCGAAGATGACAGTCAACAACTAAACTACACAACATCAATAACATTTATTGTCGAATGAATTGGTTTTGTAATATAATAGTGCTGACCTCATAGAAGTCACTGCTAACAGTTCTTCGAAAGAAATGGCAGGCAATATTGTAATCTCGACAGAGGCATTGTTCAATGCTTTGTCCTCTACCTTCTCTCACCTAATCAAATATAAACATTCAATTTAATTCATTTCATTAATTTGTATTTTTTTTAACGCAATTTCTATCTTCTCAAACTTACTGATCTGAGCCATATCTTGAGGCTCGTTGGACAAGATGCACGTATGTAACTTAACGCATCTGCTATCCACTTTTCTGCTCCATTAACTTCTATTTCCTTTTCCTACAAAAATTATGACATAAGAACAACGTATTATTCTTGTCTAAGAAATCCTGATTTTGATATGAAAAATGAACATCAAATTAAACTACGCGTACCAAGGATCGAACAATTTCCTCAACAGATCCTTTTGAGAAACATTTGTTGATTGTGTCCAGTCTGTTTAATTTGTAAAAAGAGCTTTTAATGTAATCAGTGAAAGATTTAAGTACATGTAACATGCACATGGTTGGATAGTTAGAAACTAACAAGAATTGATGAAGATCATTATTTTCCAATGAATATGACTTAGCTTTACGCAATTCCGTTTTTTCTTCTTTATATTGGTTTACTGTGCAGCCATGCGTGGTTCATATCTATGATCCTTAGCATTTGAAAAAAATAAAAAATAAAAGCTAAAGGTAGAAAATCAAACAGATGAAAGAACATTCATGCACACACACACACACACAAGTTTCACCTGTTCATAATGAAGCCATATATATACAATGAAACTTACCAGGTCCTATCATCTAGTTGTGTCTTAGACTATGAGAAAAGCGCGTGTACATCATGAAATAGAATAACCACCAAATTACCTCCTCAAGGGGCTGTCTTCCTTAAGATAAGCTATTTCATCAGTAAATTTGTCAATTAATGTGGCAATTGTTGACATATCTGCAGTTGTAATGGATTGCAGGGCATTTTCCAGCAAATTTAGCTTCTGTTGCACGCAGGAAAGTTACGTCATGTAAATTTTACAAGCTAATACGTCAACAGTCAATTATGGATTTAAATCTTTTGATACTAAAAATTGTGAATTTATGTGAAGTTTTCTTTTTTTTCTTTTTAATATTTTCATTCATTTTATTATTTTTTATATAAAACATAAAGTACTTAAAAAGTTAAACTTCATGAAACAATTCACGAATTCTCAATTTTAGAGAATTTAAATCCTCACATTATAGTTTCAAGTAAAGAGGCTGAGGAAACAAACACACACAGAGAAGGACACAATATAATGTTGTCATATATGTATACCTTTGAAGGGACAAAATGAGTAGCTAGGCCACATTTAAGCATTTCTGCTCCGTTCAAACGAGTTCCTGTCAACCCCAGATAATCTCCTATATATATATATATATATATATATAATGCATGTGATATAAATAGGAGAATTAAAATAATTAGTACCACAAGAACAATAAATTGCAGTGTCTCTAAAATGAAACAGGTATTTAACTGAACTAACTTTTGCTTTTGATTCATGCATGTTTGTTTCTTAGCATGACTTTCATTCTAGCGAGTAATCGCATGAATTTTTTAAGGAATTAATGGACGACTAATTAAGGCCACGAAAGCAAAGAGCAAAAGGAACGACAACTCACGTTTTTGTTTCTTTCACTAGTTAATTTGAGTTTTGACCAGTTTAATTTAGAAGAATTGACCAATTGGGTCTAGTTTTCCAAGTTTCATTTGATATTATGAATTGGCTGATTTTTTCAGCAGAACTTGGGTGAATTGGCCAATTTGGTCCGATAAGTTTCTTTTGATGTATATGGTTCGATTATACGATATGCTACGTATTTACGAGTGTCAGTTAATAGTATAAATGATGGCACATGAAAGTCAATGTTAGGTTTGCTACTATAAAAATGTGGCCTGGACCAATCATGAGAATAAAAAATAATGTAAATGATCTGGTATACTCCCTCTAGTCACATGGAAAACTTTTAGAGAAACTTGGTATATATCATGTTATCCATGATATATCTAATAAAAACATAACATTCAAATAACGTTGAATATAAATTTATTATGATATTAATGATGGTAAAAGGAGATAAAAGAGAGAAATTAAATAGGCATTATATTATAAAAATAATGTCACATAAGATTTTAGTTGATTGAATTGGTGCAATTTTATTGGATAGACTATAGATGATATGGTGCACCAGGTCCATTTAAAATTTTTTCTTGATTACATATGCAAAAAATAAATGTTATATCAAGATTAAGAAAGTTAATTATTTTTCTTGATTTACGTGTGCCATGGATTTTTCCCCCCTAACATGCCCTACTAATAATGTTTAAATTTTATTCATTCCTTAATGATGACCATTTATTGTCATTATTTCCATCTATACTCCTATTTAAAACAACTGATGTAAGGGGCAAAATTGAAATCCATATTAATTGCAGAAGTTTTTGCCAATATTTAAGGCCAAGAAAAATTTAATTAGTAGCTTTTGCTATACATGAAACAGGAGGGAATATGTTGGCCAAAAGGAAAAAAAAAAAAAACAAAGAAACAGGAGGAAATATCTCTTTGTATATTATTAGTTAATCGAATAAAACATTCTTCTATATGGAATTGTTAAAACTTAAATGTTGTTAACCTAACAGTGGACAAAAAGATTAGAATAATACCAAAATAGCCAGGAAGCCTTGAGAGAAAGTATGAAGCACCTACGTCTGGAAAGAGCCCTATAGATGCTTCTGGCATGGCAAACACCTATTCAATGAATGTCACACTATTAGCCTAATTTGACCACAATAAATGGTACCCAATATCAATAACATATACTCCCAATACTAATTACTAATTACTCCTCCTGTTTTTAAATATAAGTAAAAACTAATAAATGATTAATTCCTCCATTTTTAACAAGCAAAACAATAAATTTTTAACAAGTACTATAGCGTTTATAACTTCTTTCCTAAACTCTCTTTCATTAAATGATGGTATCGTTAAATTATAATAAAAAATTACAGATTAATTAAAATGATATTTTAATCTAAAATTCTTAATTTCAGGCATATTTATTTGGCTTAGTCAATTTTCTTCAACTCTGGGAATTAGTTAAAATCTGCTTATATTTAAAAATGAAGAGAGTACTAGTTGCATTACGTTACAAATTACATTACATTACAAATATGTATAAAAGCTAGTGAGATTAAGTTGAGCAATGTTTATATACAAAAGTTACGATGAATAGCAAGACTTTTGAAATCTAGTGATGATAAAAGAGAAAAGACCATACATACAGTTTTTTCAGTGACAACTCTAAAAGTTGTGTTCATGGATAGGCCAGCTCCTCCTCCCATGACCACTCCATTAATCAGACACACCTTCATATCATTAATTAAACAAATTAACTATGATTAGGTTCCACTTCCATTTGTAGTTAATAAATCATTTATTCTTATGACTTTAGAAATCAAATGCTCACCATTGGCTTTTTGTAGGTTGCTATTAAATGGTCCAACATGAGCTGTTTCTTGTAAAAGCTTGCTGGGTAGGTCCAATGTCCTATTTCCAATCAGCATTAATTATTTTGCACATGAATATTTTTGAAAATTAATCACACATTCACACCCAATATACATACATATATGTACATATATAGGAGCCGAATTTATTTTCCATCCAATTTATTTGCTGTATAATATTAAAGAAGTGAAGGCGATCCAAAAATTTAAAAACCAAAATATTAAATTATTAAAATGTTTAAGACAAAATTAAAGTTAAAATAAGCATAACATATTTCAGTTTACATGCTCAAGACAAAAAAGATATAAAACGTCAAAATCATATTTTTATACATATACCAAGAGTAATACAGTATAAATAACATAGTGATAAAATTATCTACCAAGGAATTTTGGATTGGCATAATTATTTCTTGTTAAAGCCGGTTTGTTTTAGCTTATTTTGTGAAAAAAGTATTTTTTAAAAAAATTTATTTTGTAAGTTTTTATGAGTTTTGTTTAAACTTTTAAAAATAATCACAACAGAAAAAGTAAATTTTTAATTATTTTAATAAGCTAATTTGGGTAGCTTTTAAAAATAATTTGATATATTAGATGAGAGAAAATGTTTTATAAGAGCAGGATATGCGATGTGAAGATATCATAAAATTTAAAAATAACTAAAAAATAAATTATTTTTATAAAACAAAAAGAAGATATCATAAAATTTAAAATAACTAATCAATAGTAACTTTTTAATTATTGTAACCAGCCATAAAATAATATTTTCCTTTTATAAAATCTTTATAAAATAAATCCCTTTTTATAAAATCTCCATATTATGTAAAAATTACTTATTTTTAATTTTAAACAAACGACCATACAAATAAACTAATACTTATATACCTATATATAATAAATTTATTACAAACCACATTATTTATAATATATGAACTTATTTCTCTCGTCCCATACAAATAAATAGAAAAAAGTGTCGTGTAGATAAACCATATAATAAACAATGCAGATCCAAAAAAAAAAAGAAAAAAAATTACATATAGATTTTATGGAATAGACTTATTCACAATAAGTCTCTTGAAATTTGAAAACTACAACCAAATCCTTTGAAATTTGAATATAATTTGAAAGAAAAAGATAACTTTTGGTCCTTGTACTTTACTCATGTTTTGCTATAAGTTCTTGCACTTTTTTTTCGTATTCTGAGTCCCTACACTTTTATTTTTCAGTGTTCTAGGTCCCTAAATGACCAAAATGATTAAAGTGTAGGGACCTTAAATGAAAGTAAAATATCAAAAATGAAAGTGTAAGGATTCAAAATATTGAAAAAAATACAGGAATCTATAGCAAAATACGAGCAAAATGTATGGACCAAAAGTTATATTTTTTTCTAATTTGAAATTAGGCTTCAATGACAATAAGACCCTTATAAAACATACATCAATCAAATAATTAATTTTTAACTATTTTATCAGTAATTTACAATTATAATTTTAATCTTTTATAACTGTAATTTTACATATCCAATAATTAAATTGAGTTTAATTGTTTGATTGATGTAATGTATATACATTTAATAAGAGCATTACTGTCTTTTTATTTTAATTTCAAATTTCCCTTAGGTCCCAAGGGATTTAGTCATGATTATTGAATTTTGAGACACTTATTTATAAATAATTCAACTCTACGTGATATATATATATATATATATATAAAATTTTTCAAAAAAAAAAAAACTATGACAAAGTGTTTTGACAAGTAACTTGCGTATGAAGTCAGCTTTGGATACATTTAAAATGAAAACAAAGGTAGCTTTTCATTTTTCAACTATCAAATTGTTCAACTAAAGTATAATAATGACAAAGAAGTGTATAATTTTTTAAGAATAACATGGTCAATATATAATTTTTTATTGAATCAAATATTTATTAAAAATCCAGTTATATCTTGAATCGATTAAAATATTTAATGCTAATTAAATGAATAAACTTCAAGAATTGTACGAAAAACAACATGCTGAATTTAAACACTGTACCTACCTGCAACTGAAGAAGTAATTACTGATATCACATCACCGCCAGCACAAAAAGCTTTTCCATTAGCCTGTATTATAAAAAAAAAATCGAAATGCTTTGTATATAATTACAACTTTTAATTAGACATCAGTATGAAATTAAGAATTTAATTAACAAAGTCTATATGTATGTCTTATGGAGTTATATTGTTTTACGGAGTTGAATAACGATTGAGACTCATAAAACCCCACTTGCAGAATTATTCTCATATTTCTATTTTTCTTTTGACTCTTCCATATTATACCTGCATCAATTTATATTGTTTGGGAGTGAACCGAAATTTATTTAAATTCAAATAATGAAAGATTATGGTCGAGAAATCTTCGACAGCTCATTTACCTTCAAAATCACCAGTTTAACTGACGGTTCATTCTCATACAACGTTAATCCCTCCTTCATCTGACTTACCTGCAAAAGTAGAGAGAAGTCATTGATTAATATCCGGAAACCAATGAATTCTACATCTTACTCTTCTCCAAGTTGCTTAGTCCTTTTATTATAGAAAATTTGACACGTTCAGGGAACGATGGGAACTTTTTTTTTTTTTAATTAGGGTGAAAATAAGGAAAAAAATTAAAAGTCAATTTTGAGTATAAAGTTCTAAATTTCTTCATGACAAGTAGGTCATGTATTTCTCCAAAAATAATCACTTTTTAACTAAGGATTAGATATGAATCACAGTAAGTACTTTGGCTTCTAATTATAATTAAGCAATTTGCTAGTCAAGATTTTTTCGAAGCGAACTCAACAAACCATTTCGTGATTGAGACTATTCAGCTTTTGAGGCCTGTTTAGTATCACTTCCTTCACACCGGAATTTCCAATGAAAAGTACCTACAATATAATGACACAAAATATCATCATAAAATATCAAGACTCCAGCAAGTCCCGATCACACAAGGACCACGAATAATACATAATACATATGGAAGCTTATTATATTCAAACTCCATTCAACATACGAGATTCGTTCTAGTATTTATAAAAGGCAATGGAGGAGAAAAAAATAAATATATGTTTATTAAAAATATACAACACAAATAATGTCAAAAAAGAAATCTCCAAATGTCTTTTGCTCTCCCTCAAATAAATGTTTGTTATAGTTAAAAGATGAACTATGGTTGAATTATATTCATGAGTGTAATTAAGATAGCATATATGGGTATGCAAAACGAAGGGAAAATGGAAACGGCAGATTACTATTCCAACGATGAAATTAATACCTGGTTTATTTCTCTCACAAAGGTTAAACTCAGAGCCATAGTTCAAAAAATATGACTCAAATTCTCAATTGAATGGACAAGAAATACAGGACTCTACCATGACAAGTAATAAGGTTGGGGATCTATATATAATGTTAAAGATACTCTGACGCACATCACATATTAAAACACCGTCTTCATCACAAATTAGCATGTGATTTGTGATTAAATTTAAATTTATTAAATACATATTCAACATATAATTTGTGTTTAGAAAATTTCACTGATAATTTAGTCACGAGATTGACAGGTTCGACGATAGTCTAGGCATTTAGAAAACGGACTATGAGAATTAAAATTGGTTTCATTCAATTATTTGGCCGACGGCTTTTTTGCCCTTATCTCTGCCCACTGTTTAAAAGGTTAATTAAACACTTCGTGATCTCAAATATCATTGATGTCAACAACCAAAGTTTTGGCTTATATGCTTTCATAATTTTTAAATATTTTTACCAGAACATAATTGTTTTCTGACCACATGGAATATGATTTTTGAATAAACTTTTAATTATTTCTTATTAGAATTTTTCATACACGTAATATTATTTAATCATGCTGATTCATTTGATTTTTTTGACTAAGTTCGGAATCAAATTAACCATAAAAAATATGCCATGACATCTTACCTGAGATATACACAATGGGAAAACAACTGTAACGATGTATAAATATTTCTTTTAGGAAAATGCACGTGTGTATATATGGTAAACGTCATTTATGGAAGCCAAATTACTTTGATTAATAATTATATATAATCAACCCTACAATTCCAGTAAAAAAATTATATATCATATTTAATAACAGTTTATAAAAAATATATTATTTAAAAATTTTATAAATTTAATTTATTAATGTAAAAAATATAATTTGATCGAAATAAAAATATAAAATAAACCATTTTCATATTATAATCATATAATGCACGACTTCTATAAAGAATAACGAAGAAGTACCAAAATATCCGATTTTTATATATTTTATTGATGATTATAGATTTTTTTCAATGTTATCCGTTTGAATGTGTTAGGTATAATAATTAAGTTTATACAATTAATTCTAAATTTTCTTGATAGAAAGAATACTTTAACAAAACAAAGCTTTAATTTGTGCCCATGACATGTGCGAAGTAATTAATGCCATTCGTCATGCATTTCTAAGTTGTCTTATAATATGTATGAATGAATAAAAAAGGAAGAAATAAATTCAGGTAGATCAAATTGCCGCCCATGTGTTCTGGCTTAGTCATCTTATCATCCTTTTGTTTATAAGAAAGTAAACAGATTCACCCATCTTATGCGTGTGAATTGAATTTAAAAAGGGAATGAATAAATTAATCAAATTCTAGCTCAGTCATCTTCTCATGACGTCACCATTGTCGCGTCATTATCCTTTTTTTTTTTTTAACAGCGTTGTTATCCTTTTGTTTAAGGTTTAATACACCAAATTGCATTTGTTAACAACGAGTTCGGTGTGGGTGTGTTATTATAAAAAAGTAAACTAGATATATACTCCCTCACTTTAAAAATATAAAATATTTTTGAGAAGTTAAATGTTTAAAAATATAAAACATTTTTAATCTTTCAAGGTATAATTATTATCTTTTTTTAAAATACCCATATTAAATAAATTAATTTATATTTATTTCATTTTGAAACTCTCTATTAAATAAAGATAAATATGAACAGATAAAATTAATTTAAAAATAAATAATTATTTATTGAGAGGTAAAATTTAATTAAAAATATTTATATTTTTTAACAGAAGGAGTTTATATTTTTTGATATGTAAGGAATAATTCACTCATCTTATATGTGTGAAATGAATTAAAAAAAGGAAAGAAATAAAGTAACGAAGTTATATAGCTGTGTCATCTTCTCATGATGTCACCATTGTTGCGTCATTATCCTTCCTTTTCACAGCGTCATTAACCTTTCGTGTAATGTTTAATACACCGACTTGCAATTTTTAACACCGTTTCGTGTGGGTGTTATTACAAAAAAGTAAACTAGATATATAAATTTTTTTATATGTAAGGATAATTCACGCATCTTATTACATGTGTGAAATGAATTAAAAAAAAGAAAAAAATAAATTAACGAAGTTATCGCTCTGTCATCTTCTCATGATGTCACCATTATGGCGTCATTATCCTTTTGTTTAAGGTTTAATTTAAACACCTAGTGACAATTTTTTACAATGTTTCATGTGGATGTTATTATAAGAAGGTAAACTATATAGATTATAGTCATATTTGTTTTAATATGCGTAGAATAATTAACACCTTTGAATAAGGCCGCCAATTCATGTTTTTTTTATAAACCCATAAAAACGTGAGACCGGTAGATATGCGTGATACATGAATTATAATTTTTGTATTAATAAAAAAAATTCTGCTTATATACCTAATATAGAACATGTGAATTTTTATATATTATTTATTCCATAACAAACTCTTATTATTAATATTATTAACACTTTAAAATTCACCTGTTTTAATTTAATTACATATAATTAAGTATATTAAATATATAAAAACAAATATCCAAGTCATATAATAAAAAAAAAAAAATATTTTATAGGCCAAATGGTGTTATACATAATTAATTGATTTTCAAAATATGATATTTAAATTATTTTACTAAAAACTAATTAAACAGTATGAGTTAAATATTTAAACAAAAATAATACTTGTATGCTATAAAAAATATATATAAACAGATGTTTAAAATTTAAATTTAACTATAAAAGTTTATACTGATAACTGATAAAATATAAATACTAATAAAAATTAAATTCACTAAGGTGATGATTGGATTAATGGATTTAAATTTAAATTTAAATGTAGTATTTAAAATTCTTCTGCTTGAATTGTGTAAAAAAATTTAAAGGAATAAGAGAGACAAGTTGAGAACTGAAAATGAAAAATTAAAAATAATAAGCTTATCTCTGTTCTTGAATTGAAAAAAAATATAAGCACGAGATAGAAGTGAAGAGACAAGAGTAATAAAGATACCAATTAATAAAAATGTAAAGAGAATGAGAAAGTTGGAGTAAACTATAATAAAAAATTGGCTTTGGATTCTTTAGTTTATATATCTAAATGGGAGATTTGCCCAAATTCAAATTCTCATTAATCCAAACACAACATATTTAGTTTCATCAAGTGTTAAATTAAAAAATCGAAACAATAAATTAAAATAAAAAGAATACAAAGTCAGAGGTCGTAATGTACGTAACTAGAACATAATTCCATAGATGAGGAAGATTCCTAGAAGATGCTGCTAAATTTCATCCTAAGATGGTCACGTTGTGTTTATATATCTATTCAAGTTAGGGAAGTTTTCATATGTAGTTTCGTCTTTCAAGATTTAGAGTCCATTTTGAAGCTATCAGTACTGCAATATCTCTAATTTCTTGTTGATATGGCAAGTCTTCCACAGCTCGCTCTAGAGGCAACAAGGTACACACACACACACACACGCTGGGAAATTCTCATATGGCTCTTCTATTTTTTTTTTGGTTTATCTATCTTCTTTTCTGATATTCATAATTATCTAGAACAATTCGTCCTTGTATTACAACTGTTGGGGGTTCATTTATTTATTTTTTTGAATGACTTAAAAGGATTATAAAAACGAAGGAGAAGACAAAATAAAATCACTATCTATGCTCTTGCAGAAGCCATAGGCAAACCACAAGATCACTGATCACCCGCCAAATGGTTTGCTATAAAACACATATATGGATTCCCTATGTGGCTCTTTACTATTATCAAGATAATTTTCCTCTTTTGTTATTGATTAATCGATTTTAACATTTTTTTTTATATACACATCGATTTCAACATTTTGACGCAATACATCCATTATTTTTTTTTTTTTGGCAGAGTTCTGATCAATTGTTTTACAACACCATTTGTGTATGTCAATCTGCGGATAAATTTTTGAGAGAATATGCCTCAGGATCAAATTGATAAGTTATTTATTAAGAAAGATTCCGAATTTATGAAATTATCCTGCACGATAAGGTTAAAAACAACTATAATGAAAGACTGAAGAGTCTGAGACCATTTAGTAGTCATATGTTCTGCAATTAGCACTTGAATTGACAAAGAAAATTGGGAGAATAGCACAAAAGGACCCTTGAAAAATATCAAAGATCTTTTACAGCTGAAACATCATGAATTTACAATGCCAAGGTCTTTATTTTACATTAATATCCTTCCAGGGTCTTCAATTGTCATTCTCCCAAGAAAATTTCATGGTCAAGTTGAGATTCATCAAATTTTCATGTTGACTTCAACATATCATGCTGGCCTATGAAAATTTCGTATTCACTGTATGTAAAAGATCTGGGATCCTCCTATGGTGTGCTGCCACCTCTCTAATTTATCAAGAAGTGGGTTAAATGTGTGCAGCTGCATGTCCTTTGACGACATGTTTATGTGCAGATTACAAGGAAAAGTAGCATTGATCACAGGTGGGGCTAGGGGAATAGGAGCATGCATGGCAAGGCTCTTCAGCAGACATGGGGCTAAGGTGGTAATTGCAGACATTCGAGACCAACAAGGGCAAGCTGTATGCAATGACATTGGATCCAAATATGCTTCCTACGTTCACTGTGATGTTACAAAAGAATCCGACGTTGAAACTGCCGTAAACACTGCTATTTTCAAGCATCAAAAGCTTGATATATTAGTCAACAACGCTTTCATAATAAACGAAGCTAAACCAAGCATTGTTGACAATGAAGTGACCGAATTTGAGCGTATTCTTAGTGTGAACCTAACAGGCCCTTTCTTGGGCACCAAGCATGCTGCTAAAGTTATGATTCCAGAAAGAAAGGGAAGCATAATAAATGTGGGCAGTGTTTGTTCAAGTGTAGGAGGGGTTGCAACACATGCTTACACAAGTTCTAAGCATGGCTTGGTGGGCCTCACCAAGAATGGGGCTGCTGAGCTTGGAAAATTTGGGATCCGTGTGAACTGTGTATCTCCGTATTTCGTTGCAAATGTTGCTGCAAAAGATTTCTTCCAATTAGATGATGAAGGATGCTCCAGTGTTTATTCTAATCTCGAAGGGATTTATCTTCAAGAAGAAGATGTGGCTCAAGCCGCGCTTTATTTGGCTAGTGATGAATCCAGGTACATAAGTGGGCATAATCTAGCCATAGATGGGGGATTTACTAGTATTAATCCAATTTTTGGTTTGTTTTCAAGATCAAAGTAGGTCCATTATGTTCTTCTTCTTGGTGTAATTTGTTGTTGTGGAACTGATCCCTTTTAATTTCTATGTAATAAATAATTTTAGTATTGAATTTCATTTAGTCTATTAGTAATCAATTGGGAAAATGAAAATTAAGAACCCCCTGAGATCATTAATTTTAATTAAGGACCATAAAATATTGAAATCATAATTGAGGACCCTGGTCCTTATTTGAAATAAAAAACGTACATAACTTTATAAAATTTCTCCTTACTAAACACTAAAATGTACATAACACTACTGAAATCACTATCGTGGCATGTAAATATTGTTAATATCAATTGGAAAAATAATCAACTACTCTTGGAAATAAATTGTTTCCTAATATTAAAGAAACTCACTTTTAAACATTCAAATGTCACTTATAAATATATATAAGTAACTCGAGAATTTACTAACCTTATTTAGAAATATGAACCTAATGACTTGTCAAATTTCATACTTATTTATATATAGTTGCCACCTAAAAAATAAAGAAATAACATTGCTAAAATCACTATCATAGTTTGGGAATATTATTAATGTCAGTTGAAAAATAACAAACCACACTTGAAAATAAATTCTTTCTCAATATGAAAGAAACTCACTTTTGAAACATTTCAAGGTCATTTTTGAATATAAAAAAATGACTTAAGAATTTACTAACTTCATTCAATCATTTTTTCCTTAGGAACTTTTAAGACATTTCACATTTTTTTAAAAATTTCAAATAAAGACTATAGTCTTTAATTAGGATTTTAATATTTTATTGTCCTCAATTGATATTAATGACTTTATGAGTCCTTAATTGTCATTTTCCCTAATCAATTTTAGCCACCTCAGTCTAACACAGAAGCATGGTATGATGAGGTATTGGTAGAGGTTCAAAGTTTTAACTCTCTTCTTGATGTAATAGTAATACTAGAACTTGTAGAGTTCTAATAATAATTAACTATTTGTTGCCAGTGTGAAACCGTCACATATAACAACAACGGCTTGGGAAATAATAATGATAAAATAAACAACTATATATAATTAGATGCGAGTGTGCAAGAGCGGTTTTTTTTTTTTTTTTTCAAGTACAAAAGGCAAGCTGAAACCTGAATGGGTGTCTATATGTGTGACTCCAAAACTTTGATTTTGATCCCAACCTATGAAAAAATTTCAAAGTTTTCTTTTATGATCTTAATATTTAACTACTAATTTGTCTAAAAATAATTTTTTTTAAAGATGGATTATATTCCACTAATAGATCTCCTCTCGATATGAACGTGGTGTGCCTTCATTAATTAGAGTGTTAGAAATATGAGCCCAACTTTTTTTTTTTTTTTTTGGGTGTCAAAGATACTTTCATTCACTATTGAAATAACCAAAACCAACAACAAAGGAAGGCAGCATCCAGCCAAGGAAATAAAACAACGCAGGAACAGGCACAGAAGGCAGAAAAGAAAGCCAAAACCAAACAGTAGCAGTAAAATAAAAAAACAACTGAAAAGAACAAAGATGCAGCAGCAACAGCAAACGAAAAACAGCATTAGCCAACACCCGAGCGAGCAACTGGAGCAACAGAGGCAGAGGGACGTTCTTCAACACTCTTGGTATACTCCACTAGAATGACTGATAAAGGAAGTGATGGTGTCTCCACCGACCCGACAAGGTTCGCATCCTTATTTGTGATAGCAGCCAAATAATCTGCTGCACAATTTCCTACACAAGTAACAAAAGCAGAGAAAAACCAGTTTCGGAGGCCATGAGAACTGAAATATCATTAATGATACCTCTGCATCTCCAATCGACAAGATTCAAATGCTTATGTTGAAAACAGGAAACAAGCATTTTACAGTCACACTCAAAAATTACTTTGCTCAGTGCAAGGTCCTTGGCTAGAAGAAGAGCACGGTGCAGTGCTAAAGCCTCTATCATAAAGGCTGATAATGACTTGACTTTATCACATAACCCCCAGGGAAAAACACCACTGGCATTCCTACAACAAATGCCAATAGCAGCAGACTTATGACTATCATTGAAAGCTCCATCACAGTTGATTTTAAGAAAACCCAAAGGAGGAGCATTCCAATGCGGGGTAGAAGTGGGAACTTCGATTTTATCTGATTGGTCTTTTGAAAAATCACAAGCTTCCCAAAACTCCAGAGTGGATCTACGTGCAAGCCATATCACCTTACTGGGGTCCGGACATGATTAAACAACTTCTCATTCCTTGCTTTCCATATCAATCATAGTGTCCAGCAGATGAGAGATAAATCATAATCAGTAATACACTGTTATAAACTAAAAAAAAGAATTCAAAACAGGCAAATGGATATGAAATCTGGATATACTATTCCAGGAACAACTCAGAGTAGTCTATAACGGGAAATATCCAAAGAAAAGCATAAAGTTCACTCTAACATCACAGTATAACCGAATCACAGCATAAGGAAATTAGAAGGAAATCAAGAAAGAAGCAGCAAAAACCACAAGTGGTCCAGAGGGGAAGAAATGAGAGAGAAGAGAAAATCCACAATTCAGCACACACACTATTCTGCCATAACAAAATATATGCTCAATCATTCTCCCCTCAGCTTCCAAGTGGCACACCTCATCCGTGTGCTCCTGCGTAAGCCTTCATGCCTCGTGGTCCCCTCAGAATCATTTCCTAATATGGCTTCATGGGCTTTGGTTGTGTGGGCCTGCTCAATATGGGTCGTGACATTGCCCCCTGTAAAAGTTGGACATCGTCCCCAACCCCAAGGTCAAGAGTACAGCGCTGCATATCAAACAAATACTCCCATGTAGGTTCATCTAGCCCCTCCCAGCGAATCAACTTTAGCGATGCTTGGTCTGCTGACATACACTGCAACGTCGAACAAAAGCTTGGACATCTTGTCTCATTCTAGGCCTATGAATCAAAGTAGCAAGGTGCTTAAAAGTTCTCACTTCTCCTACATGACCCCCCACAACCAATGCATGATACTCCAGCAACAATCTATGACTTAGATCAGAACGATCTAACAAAATTATTAATCATCCCTTCCAGAACATTAGGGAATCTTTGACATAAAACCCACTGATACCATTAGGGCCCTCTTCACAATGCACAATCTGCTCCTATATATATGTTGAAGCACGAGCAGCTTGACATATATCATTGATCGGGGCAGATCGAATTTGCATCAAACTCATACAAGATACCCTGGACAGCATAGCAACGACTATACTAGTTTTTCCAGGTTTGTATTCTATAGAGAAATTATACCCTATCGGTTTTGGGAGGTATTGTTCTTGTTCAGCCGTTTGTATAACTTGACCCTGCAAGTACTTCAGACTTTCTTGGACAGTACAAATTATAAAATGGTTACTAAACAAAAATAATGTCAGAATTTAGCTACAGCTTGGGTGATCGCATACAGCTCTCGGACATAAGCTGATTGAGCTTGCATCTGGTTGGAAATCTGCTTTGAAAAGTATGCAATAGGATGACCCTCTTGGCTTAGAGCAACACCAATTCCATACCCTGAGGCATATCAGTCTCCAGGATGAAAGTTTTGGCAAAATTAGGTAGTGCTAGAGTTAGTGCTTGAATCAAGGACAACTTAAGTTGGTTGAATGGCCCTTGAGCCTCTTCAATCCAATGAAAAGAATCTTTTTTGCAATAATTGAGTCAAAGGTCGTGCAATACTAGAATATTGCTTGATAAATCACCCATAATATATGGTCCTTTGGTCTTTTAATATCAAATCTCCTTAATACATATACTCTCTCTGTTTTTATTTGTAAGAAAAACTAATACTTTTTACTTATTTTTTTATATAAGCAAAATCACATATTTCAATAAGTATTTATTACATATTTTTTAAATCGCCCCTCATAATTTACATTAATGAAAAATAATCAATGTATGCTTATGTTGATTAACATAGGACATTTTAGCCTAATTTCTTTATTTTCAAACATAATTATTATAGTTAATCAACTTTCTTAAACTGTATGATATAATTTTTTTTTATATATAGAAACGAAGAGAGTACCTTGGAAGGCACAAATGAGTGGCTAGGCCGCATTTAACCATCTCTACTCCATTTAAACACCTTCCTGTTAACCCTAAGTACTTCCCTTTATATAAATTGCATAACCAAATTAATATAGCAACTAAAATAAATTTTTAACAGATTAACTTATCTGCCATATGTTATCGCAGTTACATTGAGATCAAATTTTGTATGTTATGTCTGTGTTTAGTTAGTAGTATCATATAATTAAACAGGTGATATGCATGCCAATTTTAGGTTTGACATTAATTATAAATTGTGGGTGGATTAAGGGCTATAGTAGGATAAGCAAAATGAAACAATTAACCAAAGGATACAAAAAAAAATATTACCAAAATGACAAGAAAGCTTTAAGAGAAAGTAAGAAGCACCCGCATCTGGAGTCATGGGACCATTACTTTCTCCTCAAAAAGCTAGCTTAATGGGGCATGTAGTGCACCTATTTATATACCGAGGACCCTCTCTAAGTCCTTTTGATATGGGACATAACAACTTCCCTAGCCAATCGGTGATGCCCCTATCATGGGTGGTCTGTCGGAAGGGTCCACTGACTGGGTAAACTCAAGTCTAACTCTAATACTTTTTTATCATATGGTTATTACTCTCTCCTTAAAAAGCTAGATTAGTGGGTATGCAACCCACCCACTTATATATTCAAGAATCTCCCTAAGTTTTTTTGATATGGGACATAAAAGGGTCTTATAGATGCCTCCGACATAGCAAACACTAAATTGGAATTGTGCAAAGATTTATAATTATTAATTGTCACTCCATGACATTTTGAAACAGCCAAAAACAAAGTCTGCTTAATTATGACCATAATCATGGGTTGTAATTATGGAAAGAGAAGAGAGAACGTGAAACATACAGATTTCTTAGTTACAATCCTAAAAGTTGTGTTCATGGACAAGCCTGCCCCACCTCTCGTGACTGCTCCATTAATTAGAGACGCCTTTTGTTGTTAT